ACACACACACACACACACACACACACACACACACACACACACACACATTGACTTCCATTCATGTTTTTTAGACTTTATAGCTTAACCCTGACCATATACTCTAAAATTAACCTCACAGAAACTTACCTGACCCTAAAACTAACCTAAACCTTGGTCCTAAACCTAACCCCACACCTGTAACATGCATTTGGACCCAGGTCCCCACGATTCACTTCGGTCCCCACCTGGCTGCTTTTTTTGTAAAAAAATTACCCCACGTTGTAGGAAAAACCCGTACACACACACACACACACACACAAACACACAATTTATTTCCACATCTTTTTAGCAAACAAATATTACACTCAGTGAGTGTGTTGTTGCAGTGCAAAGAAATTGATGTCTTTGTATTTTTGTCTGTTTTAATATTTTTCTTCTTTATTTCGGCCTCTTATACTGGAAGGAGTGTTTTATTCTGCAGAAAAGCATCTTTCTATAGCACTACTAGTCCATGTTTGGGTTAAATGCCATTGGTGGCATGGGGGTTAGGATTAGGACCAAGCAGTGAATAGAGTTTAGGTTAGGTTTTATTTCACAGTAAAAMCAAGTCATTCAGCACTAGGACTATTACATAAAGGAAAGTATTAGAGTCAGTTAATCGTGTCTGTTTGGACTGTTAATTGTTTTATTATTTGTTTTAGTGACAGCAAACTGTTTCTCTCTCTCCAGGGGAAGTGACTGCAGTCGAAAGCTGAAGAACGTAAGTGTTACCTTTTTTAGATTTCAGTGGGACAGCTTGTTTCAGCACTAAATGTTTGTTTGAATGGAGGCTTGTTTTGACCCAAAGTKTWTGTTTTACRCTGTGTCCAAGTTCAGGGGCTGGGTCCTTCGATGGACTCAGTGTACCTGGTCTAGGTGGGCCAGGTCCTTGGTCGACCGTGAAGATTGGGGGGAAAAATGGTGGCTGTGAATTTGGACGGTCTAGCCTCCTGCTTTAGTCCTGCCCTTACCTCGGAATATGTCCTGTCACCTAGCAGTCGTGAYGATGCTAAACAGAATCAAAAGTAGATCGAAATTAACAAAAKATCAATATAATTGTTTTAYTAAAAATAAGTTAAACAACAAAATTAGCTTAAAGGCAATTTTTGAAGAACTACAGGTCCCGCAGTATGTTCACATTTATTTCGCTATACCAGCTTGTTTTATTTCTGACAAGAATAAAAATAAAAACATGTCTATTCAAATGACAAAAGCATTAACACAACAGCTTAATTTTTTTTATTTTACATCACCAGATTTTTATTTAAAACTGTACTCCTTTCTCTTGCTTCATCCACCATTAATATAAAAAATAATAATAATAAAATAAAATCTCCGGTCGTATTACAGTGAGATATGATGGGTCAAGAAGGATCCATCTCAGGCCCGTCCCTGAAATCGGGGGAAAAAGGACACATTTGTCGCCGCATCGTAGGGTTGGGCATAATCGTATCGTGTGCAATTAAYMGTCAGAAAAACACTAATCGATTACTTTTTGGCACTTGACGATTAAATACGATTAATGGCAGCAGGCAGAGTCCGCTCGCTGCTCCTTTCTGCTTCAAATATGTTGAATGTTTAAAAAAAGGTTCTGTCATTTATTAATCCATCAACACATAGATTTAAAATTTGATGTATAGACTGAAATCTGCAATTTTGACACAATTTGGAACAGATTTTTATGAAGAGCAAATCTTTCCCATTAAATTGGTCATGTGACCAGGACATAAGGGTGTCCAGGGACTTCAGGGGATTAATCGTCAAATTAATCGTTATCGGCTAAATAGCACAATTAATCATGATAAATTTTTTTGCCAATATTGCCCAACCCTACCGCATCGGAGGAATTTTTGAATTTGGACAGCCTCCGGCGCAGTTCTCTGACGTAAGCAGCCGACAAATTCAGCCTTTGGAAGACCCAGTCTCTGAATTTGGACACAGCTTTTATCTGTTAGTTTCATTCAAGATGACCCCCACTAAAAAGCAACCTCAGTACACAAAAAAGGCTGAAACTCAGTCAGTTATTGAACTAAACGTTGGTGTGGTAATAGCTGAGAGTCATTCACAACAAACTGTCTGAGCATGACGTCTAAGCCTGAACGTTTGGCATCAATTATTAAAATCAACACTCTGTTTGTAAAATGTCTGACAGCATAGTTTTTGTTTATTTCTCTGATGAAAATACCTCTTTAAGGAGGAGAAGCGGTTCTGTTGGCCCTGCCCACTCTGCAGTTCCTCACAGTCTCTGTTTGCTGACTTTCTCTCCTCCACTCTGCGATGCTGGTGTGCACCGAACAAGTTGATGTGTCCCGCCGCAGCGCCCGCCGCTCCTGCTAGCTGATTTAGCTGAGTAAACACACCGAGCCTCAGCTACGTTAGGCGGGGGGGTGGGGGGTGGGGGGGGGGCTCGGAAACCTACCAGGACCTGCTTTGTGTGACAGATCAGAGCTGAGGACTGGGAGCCGTTTCTGCAACACGTCGAATATGAAGAGGTGAAGAACCCGCACTGAGGGGAATCTGCTGATGTGGTCGTGAAGGTGTTGTTTAGCAAACAGATGCATAAAGAAGACGCCTGATGGAATCATGCTGGAGTCACGATGTGTTTGTTTAGCAGGTGAAGGTGTGAAGAAGATGTGTTAGAATAAATGATTTTAGAAATATAAAGGATCTACTTTGTGTTAGTGGTTTGTTTTATTCACGTTGTATACATTTACTTCTGCATAATCGTGAATTTAAGTGCCTTTATTCAGTGTAAAATAGGTTTGTGCATGACTTACTGTAAGCATGTTTGAACAAAGAGTTTTTATTTACTACAACCTTTTTGACAGGTCTCATGTTGCTGCAGACAGCGGCTGAAACTGATGAGGCAAAGCAAGTGTGATACTCCTCATCAGCTCCCTGTAAAGCTTGTTGTTGATATGCCTGTCACTCAAAGCTCCTCTGAGGCACGTTTAAACAAATGTTTCGCCCTCGGCTACTGTATGTCAGTGCTGGTGTCCAGGTTTTTGTTGGATGTGGTTGTCAGCCGGTCGGTTTGGTGTGCCGTGTGTGAATCCTGCTGGCACAGATGTGAGACGGTTGTCGTTGCGGTTGTATAATTGTGATCGATACGGATGTGTTTGAACTGTGTGAAAAGCAAGTGGAACACATTTGATGGCGACCTGCTTTCATTGGGACGGGGCGTTCGTTATACGGGTGACCCTGAAGTGTCAGATGTTGTCAGGACACAGTGCTTGTAAAAAGTTCAGGCACAGCAGCTGTGGTTTATCAGCAGAGGGTTCTTTCAACAACCAATATGTAAGATGAAGTGTACATAACTTTAAAAATGTATGGTTTGTAAATGTGCTTTCTGAATTTGGGTTTTAAAGGGGAGGTGTTGTGCAAAATTTATTTATTTATTTTTTCAAATTTTTCTTTATCGTGTTTAGGAACGCAAGCTATCGATTAATGGATTAATCTAAAGTTGATAGATCTTATCGATCGACTAACGATTAATTGATAAGCGGCCATTTTCCTAAAAACCTGACATTTCTCTTGAATTAAGGGTCTTTCTATGACATGAAAGGCTAATTTTTTACACACTAAATTAGAGCTGGGCGGTATGACCCAAATTTTATATCACGGTATTTTCAACAATTACACCATTTTCACGGTATTTGACGGTATTTTTTTCCTCACAGCTCAGCTGATAATAAAATGTACAAACTTTGCTTACTGACTTTTTTCTTTTACTGTACCTTTGTATCACTGTTTCCCTCCTCTTGTACGTCTTTTCTTCTTTGCCTGGTTGTAGACAGTAATCATGCATTTAGGTCCGATCGTGAAGGGTTGAGAAAAAAATCATCTGGTCTATCGTTACGTGTTAATAAAACTTAAAAGGACGACTCACCTTGCTCACCAGTCAACTCAGCTACACTACAAAACTACTTCCCCCTGGGCTTTTCACAATAGAAGCACGCTAGCGTCTCCATGCAATAACTTCTCCATTATAACGTAGCTCGTTAAATCTAACCGTGCAGGTTACTAAAGAGTTGTTTTCACATCCAGCGATGGTGAAAACGGGATGTTTTTTTTTTTTACTTCAGACCATATAAGCGGCTGAAACACACCACCCGCCGCCAGTTGTTCAAACAATAACGTTAGCATGCTAATGCGCTTAGCGGTGCTGCGAGGAAACATGTCCCCAGGAAAACAGTTCACTGGCAGCCACGACAAAACGTTCCACACGTGTTCAGGCTATTTACACCGGTATTCAGAAAAGTCATATCATAACAAAAATAAAAACCGGTTTTCTGTACAAAACGGTATACCGTCCAGCACTACACTAAATTAAAAATTAGTACAGTATTATGTTCTCTAAAATTTATTGTGCCAGCTGTATTGAACACTGACTGAATGAACAGAAAACTGGATTTCTGACACATTGTTAAATTTGGACATATTTGTAAAATGTAACAAACAGGAATCTATTAGGTTGCAATTTGGGGAAAAAAGAGAAAGAATAGGTATATAAAACACTTAATCTACCCTGAAAAGAGAGATGTAAAACCAAAATCATTGGGCTGATCGCCATGATTTAATGTACCGTTCATTTGATTGGTTTACTGTCCGAGTTACGCCACACAGATTAACTTCACATTAATTATTTGTAGAGACTGTAACTTTATTTGTTTTTGTTCTTTCACGAGTTAAACTCAGCAAGAAGAAACTAACGTTAGCTACAGTTAGCTTACTGTTCTGTCCTCCTGCTCTCTTGTCCGTAACGTCATACTGCTGGATAGTCCGGTAGCTTTTGGTACTTTTCCTTCGAGTTTGGTGTAATCCATTATCATTGTTTTGTCGCAAATAAAACTATATAAGATTTGCGGATTTAATTTGGATGTCACCCACGTGGAGACGGCTCTCTGCTCAACTCAACAGGGCCGCCGAGGTAGAGTAAGGTCGGGTTGAGAGCAGTGTTGCCCTCTTCTGGACGACGGCCAAACTACACTGAAATAAGATTTAAACGAATGTTTTCAATTAATCAAATGGAAGGAATTTTAATCTAATAAACCATTATTCCATAATTAATCGTAAGTTGATTAACTGTTTGTATCCCTAATCGTGTTGTGTCATTCTCTCATCAAAAACACACCCAGAGTGTTGCTTTGACTCATTCACGCATGTTTGAGAAATCATCGAGTCTCTCGTGGTAGCCATGTGGACGTGTCTAAACGCTAACTGGTACAAAGCTCTGCCTATTTATCCAAAGCTCCTCCCTGGAGCTCATCCTGCACCCGAACTCCCATCCCACAGAGCACCCCACCCCTGAAGCATTGTCGGAAAGACGTACTGAAATGGGAGTGTCAGAAATGGAAGGAGGCTTTTAAGGAGGTGGAGAGCAATTTCAAGGCATTTAGACTATGATGCAAATTCAAAAACTTTTTTGATATACACTGATATGTACAGCGTTTTCATAACAACTGAAGGTACTCGAGCCGAGACACCCGTTTTCCAATATACTGTATGTTTGTTTTGTTTTTGTCTATCCGAGTTGTAGTTTCCTTTTGGAATCAATAAAGTATTATGAATTTGAATATAGAACTGAACTAATAATACTCCTCCTGTAAAAGAATAGTCTACTCATTTTTAAGTAACGTTCTGTCAAATAGTTAAAGCCGTATCTCACTAAGCTGCAACATGTCCCAAATTAAATAGAAAATTAGAGACGTTTTGTCATTTTTAGAAAAAGTTGTATTAGCTGAAAAAAGATTTTTTTAATGGGCCCTTTATTAGCTCTCAGTCAGCCGCTGATGAAGTACTAATTACTGATAACTTTGCAGTAGATTTAGAGTATTCATTTAGTCAGGCCATACAATTATAAAACTGGTAGATGAGCTTCACTGACCCATTAGTGAAGATAAACAATTTATTTTCCTTCAGAGTTCACTTTTTACTGGAAATGTTTAGATCCTTGCTTCCTCTGAACATCAGAATGGTCTCTTTTTTTGTCCTCTCCGTGTGTTTGAATGGCAGAAGTTGTTTGCGCTGACAGCACAACTGAAAAAAACACATTAAGCCACGCTGAGCTTCCCTATCAAAGCAGTCCCTGTGGAGCGCAGGTTGACATGGACACTGTAAATAGAGCTGAAAGTGCTTTGCTAACGGTGTTAAAGGGGCGGCCCGGCATAATCTCAGTCTCTGAGTCCGTTCATTCTACACTTCAGGCATTAAGCTGGCCTACAAAAGAGCTTAATGTGAATGCTGTGAGCTTTAGTTCCTTGGTTACACTGAGCGGTAACTCAAAGCATCAGGTTACAGACAGTGATGCAACAGATTGGAAGCACCGATTTTTGTTTTCGACTGCTCCTTCAGATATCCGAGACCAAACTGATAATTTAAGCACCAAAGTAAAGTAGGTATCAGGCGAATATAAATTAGAGTGACCACTAAAAAGGTTGCATATATCACCAGATAAAAGGTGCACGTGACAGGTTTCTGTGTCTAAACAATACCCAGGGCTTGTCGTGTTTGTGCAGGAAGCTTCTGCTAACATTTAGCTGGAATGTAACGAGTGGAACAGCAACTTCTATGTGAAAATAAGAAAAAGAACACATTGAGAGATCGTCGTTTGTCTTGTTCTTTTTAACCTTCCGTCGACATATTATTTGTAGCCATTTCTCCTTTAGGTTTGCTCGTTTTGTTCCAATCAAATCTGCTTAATCAGCACATTTTAAATTGCTGAACAGTGCTGATTTGTGTGAATGCTTGTACATGCTGCTATCCATTCCAAGAAAGTGCAAAGGAGCATTTTCATTAATATGATTAAAGCAATAAGTCATTGATTGCTTCCATTATATTTGTTTTTACTTTTTCCAAACTGCTTGTAGTATGTCCCTTACAAGATCCTGGAGCTTAAATACAGATGTAAACAAGGACATAAATCATCTTCATGACTTCTTCACCACTTAAAAGCAAGTTGAGCCTGTTCTGAGRCTGACGAATGGAAGCAAGTTCTCTGAGTTAAAGAAAAACACAAATCTGTTTTCATCAAGCTCACGTGATCCTCCAGCATAAACCTTCTTTGCAAACCATATATCAGAATCATAATTAATTTTTTTTCTCCCCTCAGGTTTTAATCACCATCTACTGGCTTGGTCGTGCTGCCAACAGCTGTACCTCCTACAACGGGCCCACGCTGGACCTGAAGGAATTTGAGGGCTTGCTGTCACAAATGCGAAAGGTTTAAAACGTCTTCTTATGCACTATTTATGTATTAAAATCCTAATAAATATCTTAAAGTGCCTGTGATGTCAGATTTTTGTAATACATGTGAAAGCTTTTCTAGAAAGAGGACATGGATAAAACATTGCAAAAGAAATTTCATGTTGCTGAGATGAACAGTTGTTGAGATATTTGCCTGCGAAGTAACAGGAAGTGATGTCAAAGGGGAATGTCTGAATGTGAACAGAATGTTGGTAAAATGGCTAACAACACAGACTGTAGAGAAGAATCTGCTGTTTCTTAAGATTATTTTGAGTCTCTATCAGAGAGATGAAG